CCATTAAAAAGATCCTCAGAACTCAACAAGAAAAAGTTTGTTGCTAAGCTTAGCGATAATCATTATCAAAATGAATATAATCACGATCAAAATATAATTAATCATGATAAAAATAATGATTATCATCATCAAAATGAAAATACTCAGCTTATGGATATTCATTATGATCACGATTATGCATTACCTGTTGTTCCTGTTTCTGTTTCGTTAGAAAAAGACTTAAAAATACTTCAAAATACTCCCAAAAGAATACTAAAAAAACCTTTGTTATTAAAACATCGTAAACGATTGCTGAGTAAGTTTTCTTTGATACCACAAGCAGAGTTTACTTGGAATAGGTTATCCCATTCGGATAGATTGATAAAGTTCTACACTGGGTGCACAAAAAAAGTATTTATGTTTTTAGTTAGTAAAGGAAAGAAAAAATATGAAAACGTATGTTATTACAAGGGAAAACCTTCACAATCTTTTAAATTTAGAAGCGAGAATAAAAAAAAACCAGGGAATAAACGCACTTTAACAATTGAGGATGAAATTCTACTAATGTGCATGAAGCTCCGATTAGACTTGGCTATTCAAGATTTAGCATTTAGATTTTCAATTTCTAATTCTCAATGCTCAAGTATATTAACTACCTGGATTACTTATTTTGGAAATGAGTTAAAACCTCTTCTTCTTTGGCCAACAAAAGAAGCAAATTTGTTATATAAAGCAAGGCATTTTTCTGGAAAGTTACACAACGTAGAAGGTATAATAGACTGTACTGAGCAAAAAATTCAGAAACCATCAAATGCGAAGGCACAGTATCAAACATTTAGTACTTATAAAAGTTGTAACACATTAAAAAAACTAGTTGTGACAACAAAAACTGGTTCTTTCAGTTTTATCTCCAAAGCTTATGGTGGCCAAGCTTCAGATAGACACATTACAGAGGACTGCAATGTTATTAATATGTTTTCTGAAGGATCTGTTTGCTTGGCTGATAAAGGTTTTAATATCCAAGGTTTGCTCTTAAAAAAAAAAGTCGTATTGGTTTGTCCACCTTTTTAAAAAAAAGGACTACATTTTACACGAACTAAAGTCCTCTCAGCCAAAGAAATTGCTAGATCACGAGTCCATGTGGAGCGATCAATTCGACAACTTAAAGAATTTAAAATATGTAAAAACGAGTTATCACTAACAATGCTAGATCTCATTGATTACATATATATTATTTGTGGAGCTTTAAGTAATTTACAACCCTCAATTGTAAAGGAATTTATCTGATGTAAATTAAATATGCTGATACTAATAAAAAGATATCTCTATTTTTTTTTTTTATTTTTGTATAAAAAAAAACAAAACATCACAAAATACTTATAATATAAATGTTTTCATCAAATTTTCAGCACAATGTCATATTTTTTGTTGATCAAGATTTATGATGTCGTTTGTTAATTTTTCATTAACTTGTTTACTGTTTGAATCATTAATGCATTTCTTTATGAGATCATTTAAAATTGTAGTAACTATTTCTTTTTTCTCAAGTTTCTTAGTTATCAATTCAGGGAAAACATACTCTGTAAAAAATTTCTGAAATTTTTGTTCATTTTTTTTATAGTTAGGATCAGAATAAATTCTTTCACAGTTTTGATCACTTGCTAAACATACATAGAAATCAGCATGAGGATAGCCACTTATAAACAACTGGTGTTGTATTTGGGTGCGATATTGATGACTACTTTTCAGTGAGTATGTGTTAGTACAAGAATTTTTTTCAAAAAAACTGGGTTGGGTTTGCTTGAAATTAAATGTCCATGGACATTTAATTTCAAGCAAACCCAACCCACAACAAGTACAACTTGTTATACCATCTGGGCTTGCTGTAAGATAAGGTGTTTTGATGGATACTATTAGGCCGGTTTGATAACATTTAAAGTTTTTATGAGTTTTTTTCATTTCCCTGATATATCTTTTTCGAGCATAGGATTCAAACATGTTACCCCATTGAATTGATTTACTTTTAGCATTATTTTTGTAACATAAAATTTGAGCACATAAATTAAATGCTGCCTTTTTGTTTTTCACTTTCAAGTCAACATCAAATTTCGCTATGACAGCATGAGCAATAGATGATGATATTGTTCCAACTCTATATGATTTCCAAAGTAAATTTTTTGATTGAGATATCGTAGCTTCTTTTATAAGTTCTGCTTGAGATGGTGTTATTGAAAACGTCCTTAAAAATTTTTCACATTTAAATGTTATTGATTCATTCTTATAAGAACATTCTATCTGAGCTACATAATGCTCTATGGTAGGTGGTAGCACTTTGTTTTTAGTTGCATTTAAAGGTAATTTTTTCATAAAGTATTCTGATTTTTGGCTTGAGGCAAATTACAGCACATTTTCCATCTGTTGCTTCTGCAACTGCTTCCCAATCTTCCTTTGTAAACTCTGACTGCTTTAAATAATAAGGACGAGGATCATATAAGAATCGACTGAGTTTTAGATTACTATTTTCTAAGCTTGATTTGACTTTTTTAATGAAAATATTTTGAAATATATCTGGCTCATGCAATTTTCTCTTCTGTGTTTTAGTCCCCCACTTTTGTTTTACTGATGTGCATGTTACATTATCTCCTAATCGCACATGCTCTTCGACAAACAACAACAAAGCAAATATATGTTTGCAGCTTTCTCCATAACCGGCTACACAATTGCATTCTGCAGTGAATATACTTCCGTTTTTATTCAAACATACCCATGATTCATATTCTTCATCATTTATTCTTGTTTGAGGGACTACAGTTCCTTTTAAATAACAAAATTTTACAGCATCTGATAAGCTGTTAAAAGCAACTGAGGTTACATGACCTGAAGAATAAAGAGAATGTCCTTTTTTCAAGGCTTTAGAGCTGTGAGTGAGAAAAGAATAAGTTTCAATGTCCAAATAGTTTGTGGTTGGTAATAATTTTATTACTACTTCTTTTTCTAACACCCAATTTCCGATTTCAAAAGGATGGGGAAGCTGGACACCTGATTTTAATTTTAATTTTTGAAGAGATCTGGATTTAATTTCTTCAGTTTCTTCTTGTACAGTTTTATTTAATGGTAATTTAAGTTTATTGGCATAATAAACGTTTTTTAACAATTTTTTTTTTGAAGGATTTTCACCAAGAGGAATACTCCTTGCTTGCAGGAATTCTTTCAGTTTAACAACATTCCAATTTTTAATTTCATCCATAAATGGTTTAATTTTTTCGTTATCAGAGGAAGAATCAGACACTGTTACAGTATTGTAGAAAACAGTAATGTTAAATAATTGTTTTGGTTTGTTTGCGCCTCAGTTATCCCATAATGCTTTATGCGTGAAATTTGAAAAATTAATAGGGAAAAGAAGGGCGAATTAAAACTTAAGTTCTTTATAAAACTTTCATGGCGTAACCTGTATGTTACGCTTTAAATGATGAGATTTGCAGAACGCGCTAGACAAGATTTGAAAAACTGTGTTACTCAAAGTTGCGCATCAGCAGAAATTGGTATTTCCATTAATTCCTTTAGGACAAAATAACTTTCAATTGGTGTAATATTTATATAAATAAAAGATTTTATTACGTAAAATGTCGAAATAAAATTAACTCAAGATTTTTATTTTGTGACTTCTTGAGATTTGCAGATTGGCTTATCGAGATTTGCAGATGGGCTCTTCAAATGGTTATTCTATGCTTTTAATAAATTTGTAATTTCGTAAGCGGTTCCATTAGCAACGAGATTTTTTGCAGAATGAAATGCCGCAAGAACTTTTAGCTCAGTTTATTCTATAACCTGTTCAACCTGAAATATCACATTAAAAGAAGAATTAAATTAAGTTTTGTTTTCAAGTTGTAATAGTTTTTTTTTAATTTATTAACATATCGTTTTATTGTTGTCATTTTTTGCTAATCAGCAAACAATACTTTTTTTTTGAAATTACAATATGATTCTGCATTCTGTGTTCAACTTTTTTATAAGAAAAGGACGTTTTTGTTTTTGTTTTTTAACATCAAGCGTGCAAACGCAAATTTTAAATGAGAAAAAAATTAATATTTCGTCTAAACTAATAAAATGCATTATCAACTAATAAAATCTATTGTAACTAAAGAATCCACAAGTTAGAAAACTTAAAATTATCTTTCAGAAAACCTGATATGTTTAGCTGAAAAACCTTGAGTGTTGACGGTTACTGCATCTTATTGTTCCCAGACTCTTTAGTTATTATTTAGAACAATAATTTGTGTGTTACGGGCGAGAAGGTGTTCAACAATAATTTTTTAAAATACACTTCACAATTTTTTGATATAATTATTAATAAATACCTATAAGAATAAAATTTTAAACTTTTCGACTTGATCTTAAACGAAATATAAGACTTCAGACTTTTTTTTTTTTCATCTAAAATAATTTATTTCTAAAATAAATAAATAATCTTTTAGTTTAATATAAATATTAATTTTTAATTATTTACTTTGATATAAATATTAATTTGTAAATTCATAGTAATAACTCATTCCTCATTTATTTTTAATCATTTGCCTTTTTTCGTTTAAATAATTCAGATCTTCTCAATTCTAATTATTTGTCCATTCATCAAAACAAACTTTTTAAAGATATAGAAATACAACACAAATATCAATTGGGAAGCGGATTCCTGTTAGTCACCGAATATTATGTTTATTGTCGAAATGTAATAAAAGTATAGATTTTTATGGTTTATTTATATGTAGACTGTAAATACAGAAATCTGTTTGAGTATTTTGTGCGCAACTTTCCTTTAACTTTTAATCTTTATTCTCAAGTTTTTGTGTTTTTTTTATTTTACTTTTATCTAATTTCATTTTTAAATTCCGTTGAAGCTTTAATAACCAGATGCAGGATAATTTGATTGGTTATTGATTAGGCTGCGTTTATAATAATTTACTATATCCGTGAGTATGATATTTTAAAATATACCGAGTATATCATTTAAAAAGACTTTTTTAACAGTGCACAAATATAGTTATTGATAATATTGTGTTACCACAAATGGATGACCACAGTTTTTCATTTGAGAGCAAACACAGTACTAGCCAAAGTAAGGTTCGGTATCAAGAGAAAAAAAAAGAGACAAATAAAGAAATACATAATTTGCGCTGGAACGTTGTAAGCTTTTTATCTTTGTATGTTGTTTTTTTTTTTTTTTTTTTTTTTTTTTACGCTTTTAAACAACAAATAAAACTTTTTTGGTTGATGTAATTCTTTATTTTGATATAACTTTTTACAACATTTCAAGGTAATATTAGCTTTGCTATGATTAAGTTATAATATACATGTATATTATATATTATATTATATTATATATATAACTATTATATATATATATAATAGTTATATATATAATATATATAACTATTATATTTTCAAAATTATGTTAAAAGATTATTTTAAATTATGTTAGTTTATTCTACAAAAAGAGTGCTCAATGTTCTTAAAGAACAGAGCAATAATAAATAAATAAATAAAAATACTTATCTAATTTCTTCAACAATTTGTTTCACCATCAGTAGGTTCATAAGGAAGCAGTGATCTTGCTTCCTGACGAACCTACTGATTACACTAATCTCACTTCTTGATGAACCTATTATATTTAATAATTTATTTAAGGCCGGCGCGATAGGGGTGTGTGGGGAGGTGTCACACCCCCTCCCCATCAATGATTTTTAGTCGGCAAACTGGACCCTTAGTCGGCAAATTGGGCCGTTTTAGACTAGTTAGTCGGCAAATGTCGACCCTTTCGATATAGGTTAGACAGTCGGTAAATGTCGTCATGACAGTCGGCAAATTTTGGAAAACGATAACTTTTTTTTTTTTTTTTTAGTCAGCAAAAGTTTTAATGGCACCCCCCCCCCCCCACATGACACCTACTCGCTCCGGCCCTGTATATATATATATATATATATATATATATATATATATATATATATATATATATATATTTATATATTTATATATATTTATATATATTTATATACATTTGTATATATTTATATATATTTATATATATTTATATATATTCAATATATTTATATATGTTTATATATATTTAATTATATTTATATATACAGTAGAATCCCGTTAACTCGGACCTTGGATAAGTCAGACTTTTACTAAGTCGGACAAATTTTCAATTCCCCTTGAATTCTCTATACATACTAAAAGCTTTGCTTAACTCAGACATTCGCTAAATCGGACAAAAGATATATATACCCGTTCAGAGTTCAAATATATACATACCCGTTCATATATATATATATATATATATATATATATATATATATATATATATATATATATATATATATATATATATATATATATATATATATATATATATATATATATATATATATATATATATATATATATATATATATATATATATATATATATATATATATATATATATATATATATATATATATATATATATATAATTTTGTAATCAAAGCATTTACGCAGTTTTGTGCAACTAAGTCTTGCTATGATTAACTTTGTCAAGCTTTACTGTGTTCATTTATAATTTTTGTTTTGCAAATTTTCCGACAGACTAAAACTATCTAATTATAAAATTTGTTACGTAAATTCTTTGAGTATACATATTGATTGACTTCTACAAATAACAATTTTTGTAAATAAACGTTGTGTAAGTTCTAGATTTTATGTAGCGTAAGTAAATATTAAAATAAATAAATATGTATATTTTGTATATAGCGGTCTTGGTATATTTTGGTCTAGCGGTAAAAGTGAATCCTCTAAAACTTATAATAAATTTTAAAAACTCTTTGTCTCTCAACAAGTTTATGCTCTAACAAGTATAACTATGATATTTATATGCAAAAATATGCAAATAAATGTAAAAGTATACAAAGAAATGCAAAAGTATGCAAAGAAACGCAAAAATACATTATTTCATTTTAGTTGTACTTTATTTTTACGTTCTAAAAGCATTGGAGTCATTTGTTTATTATTGAACGCAATATTTTTTATTTTTTTTTTTTTAAAGTATTGATTACAAGAAAACAAAATTACACTTTTAAATTTTATGTAGTTAAATAAATTTAAATAAAATAAATTTTTTTTAGTAATATTTTTTTGCATCGTTTATTTTGGTGTTCTTTAGGTGGTTGCAAGTATCTGTTCTAGTTTTTGTTTCCGGCAGAAAATTTTCAGCGCAAAACTTTCTACTAGCAAACTATAAATTCATGCAGATAATGGATCCTTACGTTAAGAAAAAATATTACTACTCTATGACTGACAGTTCCGCAAAAACCCTGACTAAGGATTTTTTATAACGTTCGCCATCTTGCTCAATCTAGTCATACTTATGAATGTTACGCAGTACCCGTGGGTTAGTTTAGGCGGTCGTAGTATTTAGTAGTATAGTCGTAGTATATTCATATTAATTGCCATTGGTGAATGGTAAATTTTAACATGATTTTAATATATTCAGTTTCTCTTTTTTTTTCTCGTCGTGAACTTTAATAAATTATAAAACACTATTTCTGAAACTATAGTTTTAAGGAGCTATTTAACAACGGCTACTTTCTACTGATTTTGCAATGCAAGAACTAAAAAAAATCTAAAATTTGAGATCTGGACAATTTATTCATGGAACAAATTTGTGTGAAGTATGTATGATATTGAAAGGCTTCGTGTTTTATTGTTTAGTATTAAAGACTATTTCTAATTTGACTTTCTTTGGACCGCAAAATATGTTTTATTTTGTTGATAACTTGATGATTTATGTTGATAACAAATGTGGCAAATATTATTATAAATACTTAGTTTAGGAAGATCATTCATAATGAAGGTCATTCAGATTAACTAAAACAAATTCATTACTAATTAATTAAATATTTTCACTTTTGTAGTTAGGTATCTCGCCCCTAATTATGGAGCCCACTATTTTTTTTTTTTTTTTTTTTTTTACTTTTACAGAAAAATAAAAAACAAGCTAACGACATTCAATCCTTGTTTTAAACGATCTTTGTGAAAAAAATTTTTATGTGACATAATTTTTATTTGGTTTAGTTAGAAGTTAAAATACACAGAACGGTTGAGTTTCGTAAGCCTATCAGTAGTTGGCCGGGCTAGTTCATAGGTTTTTGCACGGAAGATGACGCACAGTGGTAATTATGGTGGTAGCTGACTATTTTTTGATTTGAAGTGAAACATTCCAGTTGTTGTCCATTAAACGTTGAAAACGCTTGCAAAGACCGTACCTTGGTGGAATGTTAAATGGAGTATTATACCAACTGACTGATTTGATGTTGTTCTAAAATTTGTATTTTTGAATGAGGTTGCTGCGTAAACATCTATTATTTGGAGAGGTGAGGATTAGTTTTATCTCGAAGTCAAAATGCCTCATTTCGTGCCGGACTTGAGTGGTCTGATGTTAGAACTGCGGTAACTACAAACTTGAGATGTGGGCGTTTACTAGTGTTTTTCCATAATTTATCGAATCTGCTAATGAAGATGCGTAGGACTTAGCACTGAACAAAAAAAGCATAAGTTCAGTTTAAAATTTTACTTTCAATTCCGTAGGATTCAAGTTTTTGCGGTCCACTGTAAAAACTCAAGATAGAGATGTTTATGCGACACAAAGATAGATGGTCTATGAGTAAACAAGTCAATATAAATCCGCTGGTTTATTAGATAATGATAGTTCGGGTAATATAGAAAGAAAAAATAGGCTAATAAATGTGGTATTAATTATGGTCTAAATTACGTCTACCGGATTATTATTATATAAGTATTAATATTTCTTAGCTGTAAGAGTATGGGGGTTCAAAATTAACTTATTTTGGATTTTGTGTAGTTTTACCACTTTTTCTTAATTGATTTTTTATGCTCATTTCAAATTATTTAATACTTTTTTTTTCATTATAAATATTTGGCCTTCTACTTCAATTTCAATGAAAGTAGTTATTTTGACAAAACAATCAATTGTTAAATTAAATTAAAACATTATTATTATCAAGATAAAATCCGTGTTAAATATTTTTCTTTTCGTTTTATCAATAAAATACATAATCATTATGTGATTATATATAACATATAATAAACATAACAAAAAGTTGGGCAGTATACATGAAACTACTCTATACAAACATAACACAAAGTTGGGCAGTATACTTGAAATTACTCTATATAAGAACAATTTAAAAAATTACTTGTGAAAATGCGAAGTAACTTCGTTGCAACCATGGTGCAGTGATTTGAGTTTTTTCTCAGAATCAAGAGGTCTGAGGTTCGATGTTGGATCTGACCAGATAAACGACATTGGTAAGAAAAGATGTGTAAACTTCCTAGTTAAATTCCATAGTGCTTTTTGATAAGACGCTTAGATCTTAAGAACCTTAAAAAAAAAAAAGTCCTCGTAAGTGATAGTGAATTGTTGCGAGGACTTTTCAAGTTAAGTAGAAATTTAAAGTTAAGCTTATTTTTATGAAGGCATAAGACGACGTTTTTTTGCATTTTTATCAATAGTTATCATTTTAAATAAAGTGGATCTTTGCTGCAATGACTAACTATTTTTTTATAACTACTAAAATAAACATCCCATTAATCAATCTTTTTTTGACATTTAACATACCTTTCTGTTTTTCAAAATATTTATTGACATCCAATTCGCAAGTAAATGGATTGCCTGGTAATTTTAAACAAGCTAAGAAGTAATATCTCTTGGACGCCTAATGTAAAACTTTCTTTTTTTGCTAACCCGCTCTCAGTTGTTTTTGTGACTGGTTCTAACTGTATTTTATATTTTCGAATTTTTTAACAGTGAGACACATTTCTCAAATAATTTCAAAATTATCTAAATCTTGATTTCACAATCGTTTGGATATTTAAGTATATTACCGCGAGAAATTATCGTAATAACGGTGTTTCCGAAGCCGATTGCAATGAGTCCCGCGCTGACGCTTAAGCTCAATGTTATTTGAAATCGTTTTATAAATTGCAAAAAGAAGATCAAAAATGTAATACATCAGTTATTCTGTTATTGTATCTTTTTTCAAAACCCATGATAATTTTAAACCCAAGAATTAATTTTCTGTCAAAACCCATGAATTAATTTTCTGTTCAAGAAATATAGCTAAACTGTTTGCAAGAATTATACAATCATCCAAGTTTTTTAATGCGTATATACGAACTGCTTCTACGACTACTGAGCAGTCAATCTTATTTAATAAAAATTTCCGAAAAATAGTTTATTGTTAACTTGATCAAAGACAAAAACTCTCAAAACAAATTTTTACTCAAGAAAAGACTATTTTAGTTTAAACGCAACCTTCACTCAATTTAATTCAAAGTTATCCAATCAAAATTTTTGTTTAAACGCAGCCTTCACTCATTTTTATTCAAAGTTATCCAATTAAAACTTAAATTGGAAAAATTTTAACGTAAAGTTGCGTAACTTAACACGCAAAGAACACGCCAAAATATCTAGTTTTTAAGTATTTTTTAAATTTTTAAAATGCTAAAAAATGATGTAGAAGGACAACCACAAAAAAAAATAGCAAAAACTGAATTGTTTATTGAAATTAAAAAAAAAATTAATTAAGAATAATTGGTTAAACGAAAAATATTGAATTTCTGCCCCCTCCCCCTCCCTATTATAGGTTTTTTGATGAACTTCTTCAAAAGCTCATATTGTATTTGTTAACTCGCATAAAGTAACTGTTATAATTTTAAGTTATTTTTATATTTTTACCATATCAATTCAATTTGTAGACAATAATCAAATAGCTGCGCTTATTAATAAAATGTAAATAACTTTTTCTCGCCAGCATTTTAGCAAATCTTAGCATGATAATCATTTTCCAGTTCACATTTAACAGCTGACCTAATATTATTTTGTAATACTGTTTTTGTTTGTTTTAATAATAAATAACAAAATTATTACAACTAAAAAATTAAATTAATTTATTAAGTTCAAAATTATAAATAAAAAATTATACTATATAATTTTTTACAACAACACAATATTTGCTAATGTTTTCAAAAATTAAATTAAATATTTAAATTTTTATATAGTTGAAAATAATTTATGATGGAACACGTTATTAAAAAATCATATACTCGCATAAAGTTATTAAAATAACTTTATGCGAGTACCATAACTAAAAAATTAGTTATAGTACTCGCATAAAGCGTTTTAGAAATTTTGTAAATTGTACTCCAAGGGGCGCAGTACGTCAATTTCTCGTCGTAAAGGCTTTATACAGACGTGTGACGTTTTACGAGACAAGAAGACGCCTTACAGACGTCCTATAGACGTCTTACATAGGTTAGCTCCCGCTGGGTTCAATCAAATATATTGCTAAGCATCGTAGGTTCTATAACTTAATCCAAAGTATTAATAAAATTTTTATTAGATTTTTATAAATTGACTAAAAGCGCTGCGTTTATACAACGTTGGAAAACATTAGAAATCTTTTTGCTCAGTTATAATAGTAATGGAAGTTTATTTATAATAACCATTGATGCAAGATGACGTACTTTTTTTTAAGGAAAATTGTTCGGACGTAGTTCCTCATTTTTTATTATAGAACTGAAAATAATTATCAATTATCATTTATTATAAATTAGTAAAACACTTATCTAGTTTCAATTTCTTCAACAACTTGTTTCTCCATCAGTAGGTTCATTAGGAAGCCTGAATCAGTAGTTTCCTGATAAACCTACTGATGAAGAAACAAGTTGTTAAAGAAAAAAAACAGATAAGTGGTTTTACTAATTTATGATAATTTTACTAATACATATATATATATATATATATATATATATATATATATATATATATATATATATATATATATATATATATATATATATATACACCAAAACTCATTAATATAATATATGGCTGAATGATTGCCGAATGGCATGAAACTTGAAGTCCCATATAAAAGTCGTATTTTTTTCATTTAAATATTTAATATATTTTGGTGTTATATATATATATATATATATATATATATATATATATATATATATATATATATATATATATATATATATATATATATATATATATATATATATATATATATATATATATAACACCAAAACTCATTAATATAATATATGGCTGAATGATTGCCGAATGGCATGAAACTTAAAGTCCCATATAAAAGTCATTTAAATATTTAATATATTTTGGTCTATTTTATAAATATCGATCACTCTTAAACCGACAAAGAGCTGTATTAAATCCAACAGAATACAACACAACTCAATAATAATAATAATAATAATAATATATATATATATATATATATATATATATATATATATATATATATATTGTAAAACTATAGTGTGATAATTTATAAAGATAGTGAAAATCGTGCTAAAACCAGTTATTTTGCATTAGTTAAACTAGGGATTGCAACATCTTTTTTGGTATTTGAGACATGTACCAAACTTTAAACTTAGATTTTTTTTATGCGAATACCAAGGATAAATGTTTTTCAAAAAATTAAAGTGGTTGCAGCATTGGAACAAATAAAAACGAAAAATGTGGCTCGGCCTATAACTACCCAGCGCCGTCCCAAGGAGGCCGTCCCGAGGGGGGCGAAGGCCTCGGCCTATGACTACCCAGTATCAGAGCAAAATGTTATGGAGTTATATATCTTCACAATTTAAAAAAAGCTTATATTTATTTACATTAATACGTAAATAAATTTAAATATATATTAGATAAGTATTAGTACAAACGTCAATAAGTTATTGTCCTCACATTTGAAGTGAGCGAAAGGTAACAACTTTTTCGGCTATTAGTTTCCAGACTCCAATTACTCCAACTTTTGCAAAGCATCTTTATTAGGACTTCTAGGAGAACCTTAATAACTATAAAATAAATAAATAAATTTCAAGTTTAAGAAAAATTTGAAGTAAAAAGAAAATAGGAAATTAGATTTTTTAAATAAATGAATTTCTTATGTTACTTGGAGTGTTTTTTTATTATTTCCTTTTTGTTTATTTATCTTTTTAAATATTTATTCATTTTTATAAAATCAGTTAAAAAAAATATGATTAAAGATTCTACTATTTATTTTTATGTATTTTAAGTATTCTTTCTCTCCATAATTATTAAAAAAACAAAGAAAACAGATACTGAATGATAAAAATCAACATTAATCAAGTTTTTCTCTCTCTCCCCAGTTTTCCTCTCAAGATATTGGTAAATCGAATCAATTAATAAAGGTATTGAAAATAACAATTAATATAGTACACAAAGTAATGTATTAAAAAAAAAAATTATTATTCTGCGTAATTCTTATCTTGTTTTTTATTATTTAAACTTGTTTACTAGATCTAAACAAAATAATTATATTTTATTATATTTATATTTTGTTGTGGACAGAGCCGTGGCTAGGCTCCTCCACACCCCTATTAGGGAGGGGGAGTAGTGAATTTTGGAGGCTTATTTGTAAATGTAAGAAGCTCTTCTTTTTTTTGTAATACTTATAGGAAATATTTCTAGGATTTTGGGGCTTTTATGACAGATTTTTTTTTGGAAGAGGGACGGGGGGGGACTTGGATCCTATGCCATGGCACTGGTTTTGGACAGTGTATTAGTAACGTTTAGCAAAATTATTATTTATAACAAAAATCATGTTTAATTTTAAAATAAATTATTATTTTTTCACATTTTTTATTTATATTAAAATTATTAACTATGTATCATGCTATAATTATATAAATAATTATTCATTTATTTATTAAGATTTATTTACAAACCATCATTATTCATTTATATATCAAGATTAAACAAGATTTTTATTATAAATAATTATTTAACAGAACTATTTACAAATTAAGAAGTTATCAACAAATTATTTACAAGTTATAATCAAATTAACAAATAAAAGAAAATATAATTAAATAACAGAACTAAATATAAAATTAGAGGACTCAAACAGTAACTTGAACAATATCTATGTTATAACTCACTGTCATAGTGTGTTGTAACACTGGCAATATTATTTAAGTTTCTGTTGAAGTCTCTGAATTTTATAATTAGATCTGTTTTGCTAAAACAACATATTTGTTATTATCTGTCGTTTTATTCGTATTAGCTTTTTGTTTATTGGATTTTATTGACATTTATTAATGGTAAGATTATTAAAAGTGTTCATTCAATGAAATATTCTCAATAATTCAAAAAAATTTATTTAATTATTTACTACAAAAAAATGAAAATAAAAAAAATAATAATAATAAAATACTTATTATTATTGGTTTTTATTTTTGCATAATTTGAACAATAGGAAAATCAAACAGTAAAAACTACTAAAAATATAAACTCAATATTTTAAGTGAAATACAAACTAAACAATTTTATATTTATTTAAACATATTAATCTAATACTATATTATATTTATTTAAACATATTAATCTAATACTATATTATAATAGCATATAATATCAGTGTATTTAGATATATTTTATTTTTAAAATTACAAACATTCTTATTTTAATTAAATTTTTTTAATGCTTTACGCATATTGTCAATATGTCAATCTGTTGTCTCAAATTGTCAATCTATTGTCAAATTATTTACATAACTAGGCTCGATTGGCATAACTAGACTCAATCTTTTTATTATTTTGTAAGCTTGTTGAATGCAAAATTGTATTGATAATCTATTTTTCAAAATATCAAAAATGATGTAATTACATTTACGCAATAAATGAAATCGCATTATTTGAATAATGCATTCTTAGAACAATCGAGATTTTGAGTGGAAACACCATGATTAAACTTTTCTCCACCATTGAGTGGAAACACCAGAGTTTATTTTTAAACCTAAGAATAGATTTTTCATTTTCTTTGACCAATGAATACCTTTATTAATGTAAAATTACGGCTTAAGTTATTTTTTTAAATGAAAGAACTCAAAGTAAAACAATTTATACATGTAACTACATATTTATTTATATAACTACATACATTATATATAACTAGATTAAATAATGTAGTTATTATAACTATTATATAGCTACATACATTATATATTAGTAGATTAAATAATGTAGTTATTAAAATATATCTAGATAAATATAGTTATTAAGTTGTTTATAAAAATTGTTATACTTTATTTCTTATTGTTATACTTTATTTCTTATTGTTATACTTTAGTTTCTTTCTTCCTATAATTGAATGGAAACTACAATCACTTGCATTCAGCAAGAATATCTCTTTTATTTTTTTATTTTATTTTTTTTTAATTTTAGAACCTAGAACCATTAGTAATTTAGAACAATTTTTTTTTAGTTAATTTTAATTTATTAAAGATTCAGAGTAAAAATATTTTTTTGGTTCTAGAAAAAATTTTTTAAATGATTTAATTGAATTTTTTTTTTTCTACTAAATATATTATTTGTTAATTTATATATATATATATATATATATATATATATATATATATATATATATATATATATATATATATATATATATATATATATATATATATATATATATATATATATATATATATATATATATATATATATATATATATATATATATATATATATATATATTAAACATTATTTAAATATGAACAAATGTCGCTTTGTCTGATGAACAACGTTTGGAAGGTGATACAAGCTAAACATAAACTTTCATCATTTTTACATCAACTTTCTTGTATCAGAAAAACTTTTGTTGTTGCGGTAATGTTGATTAAACATTAAAGGAATGACTGATAAATAATTTGTCCACACGGTTAAATGGGTTGAAAAATATTGTCAAAATATTTATTTAGATTAAACAAAACTGCGAAAACAATTTAAAACATTTATTTCAGTCATCAATAATTACCAAATATTTGTCATTAATATCATTCAAAATATTAATAAAAATAACTTATGATTCTAAAGAACTGTGAAGAAGTAGTGAATTTTGTAGTTTCCAGAATAATTTACATTAAGAAAAATATTAATCAAACTTGCTCTATTAATAAGTAATAAAAAAAATACTTTTAATTATGATATTTATAATTAATCACAGTATCTACAGTATCTACAGTATTTTGATAAAAAATGTAAAAAAACTTTATGAACTATAAAGCAACTAGCATCAACTTCAAATAAAAACTTCTCAAAAAATTACAAAAGGTTACAGCTACCCAATTACAATGTCTTAAAAACTTCTCAAAAAGTTACAAAAGGTTACAGCTACCTAACTACAATGACGTCTAAACGCCTTTGCTGTTTTTTTGTTTGTTTGTTTTTTTACTAAAAACACCAAAGTTTAAAAACTAACGAACTGAAGTTTTTTTTTTAGCCATCATATAAAATCAATAAAACGCTCATAATTTGGTACTTTTTAACATATAAATTACCAGGAACAAAAAATCGCTCATGAACATAAAGTTGCATAGCAACATGAAATAAAAGACATAATATATCGAGGAATAAAAACCGTAACCCGAACCGTATTTCAAATTATAATCCGAACCCTTACACAAACCAACCTTAAACCCAAATTCTAACCTTTGAAATAATTATAACTTGTAAATAGGCAAATGATTTCAAATGTTTGTTCAAAATTTACTGGGCACTAGCTCTGTGTATGAATTATATGAAAGAAAAAAGTATGAGATCATAAATAAACACTTGTTTAATATTACTGCAAACACTACAACAGTAACGAAACATTTTGAAAGCTCGACCAATGTGCTTACCCAGTGGGCACCGGACCAAAAAAAGACGTCTTTTGAACGTTCAAAAGACGTCCAAAACGTTCAAAAGACGTCCAAAACGTGTATAAGACGTTTAATGGACGTCTTTTTTACGTCCGCTTTCACTGGGTAGGGATTTTTTAAAGACAGCGGTACAACAATAACAACCAATTAAAGTCACCAATAGTAGTCAGTATAATTTATAGCCGAAATTGATAAAAGTGGTCAAACTTTTTTTAATAGAAACTTAAATTAAAAGGTTAATAAAAAGTTCGCTCTAAAACGAAAAAACTTCACCAACTGAAAAAACGTTGTTTGTTAAATATATAGATGTCTTACAGTCTCACGGATTTACAAACAAATAAACCTAAAGACGCTGCACGAACGTATGTTTGTGCAAAGTTCTGTAACAATTTCTTCTTCTTTTTTTTTATTTTTACTTTTCCGACTGCTATTGTTTAATAGTAAATGTTGTTTACGATTATTTTATCAATTAGAATCAAGTTAGAATCAGTTAGAATCAGTTTGAATCAGTTATAATCAAGTTATAATCAAGTTAGAATCAAGTTAGAATCAAGTTAGAATCAAGTTAGAATCAAGTTGGAATCAAGTTAGAATCAAGTTGGAATCAAGTTAGAATCAAGTTAGAATCAAGTTAGAATCAAGTTAGAATCAAGTTAGAATCAGTTAGAATCAAGTAAACTCTTACTTATAATCACCATAACTTTATCGTAACAAAATTGTCATGAACAAAATTGACGTTTAAGAGTAACTGAGAGAATATTTAAAACTAAAAAAACGACGTTCTTTTTTTTTTCTTTTTTTTTATTAGGAAGAAGGAAAAAAGGTATTTTTCGCCGAGAGTGTTTCCAGGCTCTATTTGCAAAATTTTAATTTGACTTTTGCTAAGCATTTGTTAGCATTCAAATACTTTTTTTTCAACTGCAATAAAAAAAAACTGATATTATTTCAATTATTTTATATTTATTATTATTATTATTATTAACTTACACGGAACATTACATGAACCGTAAATCATCATTAACTAGCAAAGCTAGTTTGTTTAGAAGCATTAAAACCGCCACAGAAAATGATTTGCTATGGTAACTGTTGTAGATACCAGTCTAAATTAGTTTTGAACTATTTCACTAAGGTAGTATTTACTACATTGTCTGGCA